CACGCCCCCTTCCTCCTCTGCCGAACGACGACGAGGAGGAGGACCTGGACCTTGATTCTCCGCCTCCGTACCCGCCTCCGCCGCCGCCTTCAGAAGAGCGGTCCAAGCGGTATTCCTGGCGGATGTCTGACTCCGCCGTCTTTGGCCAAGGCGAAAATAAGAGGCGCTCGTGGCTACTCAACTTAACCAACGGAGGCGACAAAACGAAGAGTAAAATGGCGAAAGACGGTAAGGATGTCGATGATGTTAACAGTAAGATCAGTGTAGGTAGCATGGATGTGTCAGGGGGAGTTGGAGTGAAAGCTTCCTTTAATGAACCACATATAAATATCCAAGAAAATTCTTGGACTGTAGAGGGGAAGCCCGACGCAAACCAAACGACGGGGAAAGAAACCCATGTGTTTACGTACAACATTTCTGATAAGGAAAAGGCGATGCATGGAGAGAAAGTCATAAAGATGAAGACTGAGTATGTGAGAGGAGAAGACAGTAGTGCACCAGGATACAGTGTTCTTCATGAATGTCTTCAGCATGACATGAACTCTGAAGGCAGAATGATTCATGATCAAAACAATACACAGCTTCCATCTTTGGATCTTAGCTGTACATCCAACATGAGTGATGAGCTGAAAAATGTCATTGACGAGCTTCGAGGCAAGCCATCCACTGAAGACAGCACTGTATTTAAAACTGTCTCTGAACACAAACGATTTGTCAGTATCACAACTACGACTAAGAAGGAAGTATCTTCGCATATTAATATTAATGGCAAAGATTATAGTTCAACCACAAATGATTCTCTTAGTAAGCTGGAGGCAGAACTAAGTGCGTTGCTCTCTCCTGAACTGGAATTACACACCAATTCTGAGACAGTCAGTAACAAAAACACTTCCGTTTCCATGCGTATGGAAAATGGGCATGGGTCTGGTGCAAATGTGGGGTTAGGTTCTAGCACCAGTCAGGCTCATAGTTCACAAGTAAACCAAAGCTATAACATATCAGTGACACCAACACTTCCATTACCAGACATTCAAGAATTCTCTGGGAAAGGTATTCCATTGCTGCCTGACCTTGTGAAGGGCAACAATAAGGGAGCCATTACCGTTGAAAGTTCACTACAGGGGCGTGACAAAAATGTAAATGTGGGGGCGGGAGGCAGTATAACCGGCCCAACTTGTGATGTTCAACTTGACAAAAGAGGAGATTTTGGAGGTGGAAGATTAGATACAAAGTTTGATAGTTCATTACCACAGGGTAAAGGAGAAATTGATGGATTACACATAAGGGGAGATGTGTCAGGTCCCAGATTAGATGTGTCAGCTGAAGGTAGCAAGTTCCATACTCCAGGGGTAGCCTTGGCAGGTGAGAGTCTGCCACGGGGAGATGTCAGCATGTCAGTGGAGCCTGTTATACCTGATGTAGGCAAGCCTGCCACTAAGAGTAAGAAACAGTCATCTGGTCCTTGTGCTTGTTTGAGCAGTCCTAAGAAAATCGAACAAGAAGAGCCATACATATCAGTGGGCGTTCAAGGGGAAGGCAAAGGAGAATTACCGTCAGTGCCTGCTGGCTCAGTAGAAGTAGAAGGGGTAGACTCAGGTCTTAGAACCGAAGGTACAGCTACTGCAAAGATTCCCCAGAAAAAACGCTCTGGTCCAAAAGCTAAACTTGGATCATGTTTTGGTAAACCCAAATCATCAGAATTTGATACCCCAGAAGCAGATATTAAAGGAGAGGTTGAAATTAAGAGTCCAAGATCAACTGCGGACCCAAGAGCAGAAGCTAGTGTAAATATCCAAGTGCCTGATGAGAATGTGAAAATTGGAAAAGATCCAGAGAAGAAAAAGGCAAAGTTTGGCTCATGTTTTGGGAAGCCTAAAGAACCAGAGTATGATGTAAAGGGAGAATCTTACAGAGTGATATCAGATGAACCAGAATTTGAAGGCAAGTTAGATGCTGGTGCCGTATCACCAACACCTATGCCTCAAGTCAGTCTAGCAACAACCACAGGTGATATCAGTTTTCAGACAAAATCAACAAATGTTTCACCATCTTTGAAATGTGACATACCTGATTTCCCAAAAGTTGAAGCTAATGTGGAAACTAGGGCAGGGGTAAGTGGAGAAATTGAGGGTGGTTTTTCGGGTGATATCCATAAAGGAGATGTACAGATCCAAGCAAATGCACCAAAAATTGGTGGTAATATTGCTAGTAAAGAATACACAGCAGACAGTGACATTTCCGGAATTCCAGGAAATATGGATATCAATATTCCAGGTTTCAAATTCTCCCAAAGTACTCCTAAAGCTACAATAGAAGGGTCATCAAGAGCTAACTTTAATAGTGACCTCAGTCTCGACATTGAAGGAAAGGCTCCAGATGCGAAGATTAAGGGAGAAATCCCAGGCATGTCTTTAGAAGGTAATTTGCCAAGTATGTATGCATCTGGGGAAAAGACAAATATCAAGTATTCTGAAGATACCCCAGAAGTGAAAATAGAAGGAAAACTACCAGAACCCAAAGGAGACTTCAATGTTGACCTTGGAATTGATTTGCCACATGTAGGTGGGACAGAAAAAGAACTGGAAATCAAAGCTGCAGGTGTGCCAGGTGTCACTGTTAAGGGCGACTTACCTGCCATTGATGTCCCCAAAGGAGAGGTCTCCATACCAAGCAGTCCTATTAAGCCATCTGCAGGAATTAAAGCTGAAGTTAAAGGTCCAAAGGGATCAACATCCCTTGATGTACCTAGTGTTAAACCAAAGACAAAGAAAGCCAAGTTAGGCCCATGTGCTTGTTTAGGGAAATCAGGCAAGATGGACATTGAAGAACCATATATAGAAAAGGAAGGTGAAGTTAGTGGAAGATTTGAAAATGTTGATGCAGACATAGGAGTTCAAGTAGAGGGACCAAGGGTAGAGGGACCTGAAGCCCAAATTTCAGTTGATGTTGAATCTCCAGAGACAGAAAGTAGGAAAGCCAAGGTATCAGGAAAGCCCAAGATGTCATTAGGATCTTGCTTTGGAAAAGCAAAGCCACCTAGTGCCCGTAGTGATTTATCAGGTGATACTGGTGTCGAAGGAACCATCTCTGCTGAGCCACACATCAAAGTTAAAGGGGCAGATGTAGAAGGTCCAAGTGCAGATATTTCCCGTCCTAGAGGAAAAGCTGAAATCGATGTTGAATCTCCAGAAATTAAAGCAAAAGGAGGAAAAGTATCAGGCAAACCAAAGATGAAATTTGGGCCATGTTTTGGTAAAGGTAAAAGTAAGGGGAAAGATGTAGAAGCAGAAAGTGAATACAGAATTGAAGGCCCATCTGTTAGTGGTGAGATTAGTCCTTCATCACCTGAGCTAAGAGCAGATGTCAGTGTTGAATCACCTAAAGCCAAAATCAAAGGCGAGAAACCCAAAACGAAGTTTGGATCTTGCCTTGGAAAACCCAAAGAGCCAAAAGTTGAAGGTGAATACCAAGCAGGAAAAATAGCTGTTGAAGGTCCTGATGTCAGTGGTAAAGTAGAAATTCCTTCTGGTGAGGCTAGTGTTGCATCACCAGCAGTAAGTGTAGATATCAGTGCTGAATCACCTGAAGCTAAAATTAAAGGGGAGAAACCTAAATCTAAGCTGGGATCTTGTTTTGGTAAACCAAAAGGCCCGAAAGTTGAAGGAGAATATAAACCTGTTAGAGTTCAAGCTGAAAGTTCTGGGGCTAGTGGTGAGATTAAGGTCGCATCACCAGAGATAAGAGGAGACATTGAGGCTGAAGCCCCTGAAGTAGAAATTAAAGGAGAAAAGCCAAAGTCAAAACTTGGATCTTGCTTTGGGAAACCCAAGGGCCCTGATGCTGGGGGTGAATACAAACCAAGTAAACTCGAAGTTGAAGGTCCATCTGTTACTGGTGAGGCTAGTGTTGCATCTCCCGCGATTAGTGGAGAAGTTAGTGCCGAGTTGCCAAGAGGTGAAATTAAAGGTGGAAAACCCAAATCTAAGTTGGGATCATGCTTTGGGAAACCAAAAGAACCGAAAGTGGCAGGTGAATACAAACCAGCTGAAGTAAACATCGATGAGCCATCTATTAGTGGTGAGGCAAGTGTCAAATCACCAGAACTAGGTGGAGACATTGGCATTAAATCACCAAAGCTCAGTGGTGATGCAGAGATCAAAGGAAAGAAGCCAAAATCCAAATTAGGATCCTGTTTCGGGAAATCTAAATCCCCAGAAATTGAAGGAAAGGTTGAAGCAGAAGGACCAGAGATCAGTGGGGAAGTTGGTATTTCATCACCAGAGCTTAAAGGTGATGTAAATATTGAATCACCTGATGTAAGAATTAAGGGAGAAAAACCTAAATCAAAATTAGGATCATGTTTCGGTAAGCCTAACACACCTCGAGCAGAAGGTGAATATATGGTTAGTACTGAAAGACCTGAAGCAGAGGCAGGAGTTTCAGCCAGATCTCCTGCTATTAAGGGTGATGTTGATCTAGAGTCCCCTGAGATAAAGGTGAAAGGCAGTAAACCAAAGTCCAAACTTGGATCATGCTTTGGGAAACCAAAAAGTGGAAAGATAGAAGGTGAATACAAGCCAGGAAGTGTAGACATAGAAGGCCCTGATGTGAGTGCAGGAGCCAGTGTCAAGGCTCCTGCCATTGAAGGAGAAATTGATGTTGAATCACCTGAAGTAGAAGTGAAAGGTAAAAAGGTTTCTGGAAAGCCGAAGGCCAAGCTAGGATCATGCTTTGGCAAACCCAAAGAACCTAAAGTTAAAGGAGAAATAGACATTGAAGGTCCAAGAGTAGAAGGTGAAGTGCCTACTGGGAAAGCTGAAGTAGGTGTCAAGGCCCCTGAGATGAAAGTGAAGAGTAAGAAGGGTAAAGGAAAATCTGCTCCACTATGTGCTTCATGCATTGGAAAGGCATCACCTCCAGATGTAGATATAGATGCTGATGTAGAACCAGGAAGCATTAAGATTCGTCCAGAAAAACCAAGCATGGAAGGTAAAATATCAGTAGAAGGTCCAAGTATTGATGTTGAACCAGTAAAAGTAAAAGTAAAGGGACCTTCAGTGCCTGAAGTACCAGAAATAAAAGGAAATTTGGATGTGGAAGCAGATTTACCTGATTTTGAACCATCCATTAAAATCAAGGGTGATATTCCAGATATCCCAAAAGTAGAAGCAGAAATGGGAGGAAAAGCTGATATTCCAGGAATTGAAATCAAGGGTAATGTGCCAGAACTTCCAAAGATAGAGGCAAGTGTGGATGCACCTGAATTGAAAGTGGAAGGAGAGCTACCCAAACTGAAAACGGAAGGTGATATTGACATTGGAATAAATGTTCCAAGTATATCAGGAGATATTAAGGGATTGAATATTGAAACACCCGACTTCCCAAGTGGCAAAATTGAAGGAGATATTAAGGGTGACTTACCAAGCATTGAGATTCCTAAAGCTGAAGTCTCTCTACCAGCAGGCCCTGAATTACCAAGTGCAGAAATTAAGGGAGAATTGAAGGGTCCAGAGATCTCCGGTTCAGCCCAAATACCAAAGGCAGAACTTAAGACAAAGAAAGCAAAACTTGGTCCATGTGCTTGTTTAGGCAAACCAGGCAAAATTGGCAAAGAAGAACCATACATGGCTGCCGAAGCTGGAGGAAAAGTAAGTGGAGAAGTTGAAGGTATAGATGTGGGTGTAGAAGGACCCAAAGGTAGTGTTGCAGTAGATGTTGACTCACCTGAGATAAAGGGTAAGAAAGTAAAGGCTTCAGGCAAGCCTAAGATGTCCTTAGGATCATGCTTCGGGAAAGCAAAGCCACCAAGTGCCCGTGGTGATTTATCAGCTGATGCTGGTGTTGAAGGAACCATTTCTGCTGAGCCACACCTCAAAGTTGAAGGAGCAGATATTGCAGGTCCAAGTGCAGAGATTTCCCTTCCAGAAGGAAAGGCTGAAGTTGATATTGAATCCCCAGAAGTTAAAGTGAAAGGAGGAAAAGTATCAGGCAAACCCAAGATGAAATTTGGACCCTGTTTCGGCAAAGGCAAAGATGTAGAAGTAGAAGGTGAATACAAACCAAGTAAAGTAGAAGTTAAAGGTCCATCTGTCAGTGGTGAAGTCAGTGCAGCTTCACCTGAAATGAGTGGAGACATTAGTGTTGAATCACCTAAAGCTAAAATCAAAGGAGAAAAGCCAAAGTCTAAACTAGGATCCTGCTTTGGAAAACCCAAAGGGCCAAAGGTGGAAGGTGAATACAAGCCAGCTAAAGTTAGTGTTGAGGGTCCAGAAGTTAGTGGTGAAGTTTCTGGTGCCTCACCAGAGATAAGTGCAGAGATCAGTGCTGAACCACCCAAAGCTAAACTCAAAGGGGAGAAACCTAAATCAAAATTAGGATCTTGCTTTGGTAAGCCCAAAGGCCCAAAAGTCGAAGGAGAATATAAACCATCAAGAGTTGATGTTGAATGCCCAGAAGTAAGTAGTGACGTAGGGGTTCCATCAGCTGAGGTTAAGGGTGACATTAAGGTTGATTCACCTGATGTAAGATTTAAAGAAGGTAAACCCAAATCTAAGTTTGGATCCTGCTTTGGAAAACCTAAATCGCCTGAAATTGAAGGTGAATACAAAGCAGGAAAAATTAGTGTAGAAGGACCTGAAGCAGAGGCAGGAGTTTCAGCCAGATCTCCTGCTATTAAGGGTGATGTTGATCTAGAGTCCCCTGAGATAAAGGTGAAAGGCAGTAAACCAAAGTCCAAACTTGGATCATGCTTTGGGAAACCAAAAAGTGGAAAGATAGAAGGTGAATACAAGCCAGGAAGTGTAGACATAGAAGGCCCTGATGTAAGTGCAGGTGCCAGTGTCAAGGCTCCTGCCATTGAAGGAGAAATTGATGTTGAATCACCTGAAGTAGAAGTGAAAGGTAAAAAGGTTTCTGGAAAGCCGAAGGCCAAGCTAGGATCATGCTTTGGCAAACCCAAAGAACCTAAAGTTAAAGGAGAAATAGACATTGAAGGTCCAAGAGTAGAAGGTGAAGTGCCTACTGGGAAAGCTGAAGTAAGTGCCAGGGCCCCTGATATGAAAGTGAAGAGTAAGAAGGGTAAAGGAAAATCTGCTCCACTATGTGCTTCATGCATTGGAAAGGCATCACCTCCAGATGTAGATATAGATGCTGATGTAGAACCAGGAAGCATTAAGATTCGTCCAGAAAAACCAAGCATGGAAGGTAAAATATCAGTAGAAGGTCCAAGTATTGATGTTGAACCAGTAAAAGTAAAAGTAAAGGGACCTTCAGTGCCTGAAGTACCAGAAATAAAAGGAAATTTGGATGTGGAAGCAGATTTACCTGATTTTGAACCATCCATTAAAATCAAGGGTGATATTCCAGATATCCCGAAAGTAGAAGCAGAAATGGGAGGAAAAGCTGATATTCCAGGAATTGAAATCAAGGGTAATGTGCCAGAACTTCCAAAGATAGAGGCAAGTGTGGATGCACCTGAATTGAAAGTGGAAGGAGAGCTACCAAAACTGAAAACGGAAGGTGATATTGACATTGGAATAAATGTTCCAAGTATATCAGGAGATATCAAGGGATTGAATATTGAAACACCCGACTTCCCAAGTGGCAAAATTGAAGGAGATATTAAGGGTGACTTACCAAGCATTGAGATTCCTAAAGCTGAAGTCTCTCTACCAGCAGGCCCTGAATTACCAAGTGCAGAAATCAAGGGAGAATTGAAGGGTCCAGAGATCTCCGGTTCAGCCCAAATACCAAAGGCAGAACTTAAGACAAAGAAAGCAAAACTTGGTCCATGTGCTTGTTTAGGCAAACCAGGCAAAATTGGCAAAGAAGAACCATACATGGCTGCCGAAGCTGGAGGAAAAGTAAGTGGAGAAGTTGAAGGTATAGATGTGGGTGTAGAAGGACCCAAAGGTAGTGTTGCAGTAGATGTTGACTCACCTGAGATAAAGGGTAAGAAAGTAAAGGCTTCAGGCAAGCCTAAGATGTCCTTAGGATCATGCTTCGGGAAAGCAAAGCCACCAAGTGCCCGTGGTGATTTATCAGCTGATGCTGGTGTTGAAGGAACCATTTCTGCTGAGCCACACCTCAAAGTTGAAGGAGCAGATATTGCAGGTCCAAGTGCAGAGATTTCCCTTCCAGAAGGAAAGGCTGAAGTTGATATTGAATCCCCAGAAGTTAAAGTGAAAGGAGGAAAAGTATCAGGCAAACCCAAGATGAAATTTGGACCCTGTTTCGGCAAAGGCAAAGATGTAGAAGTAGAAGGTGAATACAAACCAAGTAAAGTAGAAGTTAAAGGTCCATCTGTCAGTGGTGAAGTCAGTGCAGCTTCACCTGAAATGAGTGGAGACATTAGTGTTGAAGCCCCTAAAGCTAAAATCAAAGGAGGAAAACCTAAATCAAAATTAGGGTCTTGCTTTGGGAAACCCAAAAGCCCAGAAGCAGAAATTGAATATAAGCCTGCCAAAATTTCAGCCGAAAGTCCAGCAGTTACTGGTGAAATTAGTGGTGCATCAGCTGAGATGAAGGGTGATGTTGATGTTGGTTCTCCTGATGTAAAAGTGAAAGGAGGAAAACCAAAAGCAAAGATTGGATCCTGCTTTGGAAAACCTAAATCACCTGAAATTGAAGGTGAATATAAACCAGGGAAAATTAGTGTAGAAGGACCTGAAGCAGAGGCAGGAGTTTCAGCCAGATCTCCTGCTATTAAGGGTGATGTTGATCTAGAGTCCCCTGAGATAAAGGTGAAAGGCAGTAAACCAAAGTCCAAACTTGGATCATGCTTTGGGAAACCAAAAAGTGGAGAGATAGAAGGTGAATACAAGCCAGGAAGTGTAGACATAGAAGGCCCTGATGTAAGTGCAGGAGCCAGTGTCAAGGCTCCTGCCATTGAAGGAGAAATTGATGTTGAATCACCTGAAGTAGAAGTGAAAGGTAAAAAGGTTTCTGGAAAGCCGAAGGCCAAACTAGGATCATGCTTTGGCAAACCCAAAGAACCTAAAGTTAAAGGAGAAATAGACATTGAAGGTCCAAGAGTAGAAGGTGAAGTGCCTACTGGGAAAGCTGAAGTAGGTGCCAAGGCCCCTGATATGAAAGTGAAGAGTAAAAAGGTAAAAGGAAAATCTGCTCCACTATGTGCTTCATGCATTGGAAAGGCATCACCTCCAGATGTAGATATAGATGCTGATGTAGAACCAGGAAGCATTAAGATTCGTCCAGAAAAACCAAGCATGGAAGGTAAAATATCAGTAGAAGGTCCAAGTATTGATGTTGAACCAGTAAAAGTAAAAGTAAAGGGACCTTCAGTGCCTGAAGTACCAGAAATAAAAGGAAATTTGGATGTGGAAGCAGATTTACCTGATTTTGAACCATCCATTAAAATCAAGGGTGATATTCCAGATATCCCGAAAGTAGAAGCAGAAATGGGAGGAAAAGCTGATATTCCAGGAATTGAAATCAAGGGTAATGTGCCAGAACTTCCAAAGATAGAGGCAAGTGTGGATGCACCTGAATTGAAAGTGGAAGGAGAGCTACCAAAACTGAAAACGGAAGGTGATATTGACATTGGAATAAATGTTCCAAGTATATCAGGAGATATCAAGGGATTGAATATTGAAACACCTGACTTCCCAAGTGGCAAAATTGAAGGAGATATTAAGGGTGACTTACCAAGCATTGAGATTCCTAAAGCTGAAGTCTCTCTACCAGCAGGCCCTGAATTACCAAGTGCAGAAATTAAGGGAGAATTGAAGGGTCCAGAGATCTCCGGTTCAGCCCAAATACCAAAGGCAGAACTTAAGACAAAGAAAGCAAAACTTGGTCCATGTGCTTGTTTAGGCAAATCAGGCAAAATTGGCAAAGAAGAACCATACATGGCTGCCGAAGCTGGAGGAAAAGTAAGTGGAGAAGTTGAAGGTATAGATGTGGGTGTAGAAGGACCCAAAGGTAGTGTTGCAGTAGATGTTGACTCACCTGAGATAAAGGGTAAGAAAGTAAAGGCTTCAGGCAAGCCTAAGATGTCCTTAGGATCATGCTTTGGGAAAGCAAAGCCACCAAGTGCCCGTGGTGATTTATCAGCTGATGCTGGTGTTGAAGGAACCATTTCTGCTGAGCCACACCTCAAAGTTGAAGGAGCAGATATTGCAGGTCCAAGTGCAGAGATTTCCCTTCCAGAAGGAAAGGCTGAAGTTGATATTGAATCCCCAGAAGTTAAAGTGAAAGGAGGAAAAGTATCAGGCAAACCCAAGATGAAATTTGGACCCTGTTTCGGCAAAGGCAAAGATGTAGAAGTAGAAGGTGAATACAAACCAAGTAAAGTAGAAGTTAAAGGTCCATCTGTCAGTGGTGAAGTCAGTGCAGCTTCACCTGAAATGAGTGGAGACATTAGTGTTGAATCACCTAAAGCTAAAATCAAAGGAGAAAAGCCAAAGTCTAAACTAGGATCCTGCTTTGGAAAACCCAAAGGGCCAAAGGTAGAAGGTGAATACAAGCCAGCTAAAGTTAGTGTTGAGGGTCCAGAAGTTAGTGGTGAAGTTTCTGGTGCCTCACCAGAGATAAGTGCAGAGATCAGTGCTGAACCACCCAAAGCTAAACTCAAAGGGGAGAAACCTAAATCAAAATTAGGATCTTGCTTTGGTAAGCCCAAAGGCCCAAAAGTCGAAGGAGAATATAAACCATCAAGAGTTGATGTTGAATGCCCAGAAGTAAGTAGTGACGTAGGGGTTCCATCAGCTGAAGTTAAGGGTGACATTAAGGTTGATTCACCTGATGTAAGATTTAAAGAAGGTAAACCCAAATCTAAGTTTGGATCCTGCTTTGGAAAACCTAAATCGCCTGAAATTGAAGGTGAATACAAACCAGGAAAAATTAGTGTAGAAGGACCTGAAGCAGAGGCAGGAGTTTCAGCCAGATCTCCTGCTATTAAGGGTGATGTTGATCTAGAGTCCCCTGAGATAAAGGTGAAAGGCAGTAAACCAAAGTCCAAACTTGGATCATGCTTTGGGAAACCAAAAAGTGGAAAGATAGAAGGTGAATACAAGCCAGGAAGTGTAGACATAGAAGGCCCTGATGTGAGTGCAGGAGCCAGTGTCAAGGCTCCTGCCATTGAAGGAGAAATTGATGTTGAATCACCTGAAGTAGAAGTGAAAGGTAAAAAGGTTTCTGGAAAGCCGAAGGCCAAACTAGGATCATGCTTTGGCAAACCCAAAGAACCTAAAGTTAAAGGAGAAATAGACATTGAAGGTCCAAGAGTAGAAGGTGAAGTGCCTACTGGGAAAGCTGAAGTAGGTGCCAAGGCCCCTGATATGAAAGTGAAGAGTAAAAAGGGTAAAGGAAAATCTGCTCCACTATGTGCTTCATGCATTGGAAAGGCATCACCTCCAGATGTAGATATAGATGCTGATGTAGAACCAGGAAGCATTAAGATTCGTCCAGAAAAACCAAGCATGGAAGGTAAAATATCAGTAGAAGGTCCAAGTATTGATGTTGAACCAGTAAATGTAAAAGTAAAGGGACCTTCAGTGCCTGAAGTACCAGAATTAAAAGGAAATTTGGATGTGGAAGCAGATTTACCTGATTTTGAACCATCCATTAAAATCAAGGGTGATATTCCAGATATCCCGAAAGTAGAAGCAGAAATGGGAGGAAAAGCTGATATTCCAGGAATTGAAATCAAGGGTAATGTGCCAGAACTTCCAAAGATAGAGGCAAGTGTGGATGCACCTGAATTGAAAGTGGAAGGAGAGCTACCAAAACTGAAAACGGAAGGTGATATTGACATTGGAATAAATGTTCCAAGTATATCAGGAGATATCAAGGGATTGAATATTGAAACACCTGACTTCCCAAGTGGCAAAATTGAAGGAGATATTAAGGGTGACTTACCAAGCATTGAGATTCCTAAAGCTGAAGTCTCTCTACCAGCAGGCCCTGAATTACCAAGTGCAGAAATTAAGGGAGAATTGAAGGGTCCAGAGATCTCTGGTTCAGCCCAAATACCAAAGGCAGAACTTAAGACAAAGAAAGCAAAACTTGGTCCATGTGCTTGTTTAGGCAAACCAGGCAAAATTGGCAAAGAAGAACCATACATGGCTGCCGAAGCTGGAGGAAAAGTAAGTGGAGAAGTTGAAGGTATAGATGTGGGTGTAGAAGGACCCAAAGGTAGTGTTGCAGTAGATGTTGACTCACCTGAGATAAAGGGTAAGAAAGTAAAGGCTTCAGGCAAGCCTAAGATGTCCTTAGGATCATGCTTTGGGAAAGCAAAGCCACCAAGTGCCCGTGGTGATTTATCAGCTGATGCTGGTGTTGAAGGAACCATTTCTGCTGAGCCACACCTCAAAGTTGAAGGAGCAGATATTGCAGGTCCAAGTGCAGAGATTTCCCTTCCAGAAGGAAAGGCTGAAGTTGATATTGAATCCCCAGAAGTTAAAGTGAAAGGAGGAAAAGTATCAGGCAAACCCAAGATGAAATTTGGACCCTGTTTCGGCAAAGGCAAAGATGTAGAAGTAGAAGGTGAATACAAACCAAGTAAAGTAGAAGTTAAAGGTCCATCTGTCAGTGGTGAAGTCAGTGCAGCTTCACCTGAAATGAGTGGAGACATTAGTGTTGAAGCCCCTAAAGCTAAAATCAAAGGAGGAAAACCTAAATCAAAATTAGGGTCTTGCTTTGGGAAACCCAAAAGCCCAGAAGCAGAAATTGAATATAAGCCTGCCAAAATTTCAGCCGAAAGTCCAGCAGTTACTGGTGAAATTAGTGGTGCATCAGCTGAGATGAAGGGTGATGTTGATGTTGGTTCTCCTGATGTAAAAGTGAAAGGAGGAAAACCAAAAGCAAAGATTGGATCCTGCTTTGGAAAACCTAAATCACCTGAAATTGAAGGTGAATATAAACCAGGGAAAATTAGTGTAGAAGGACCTGAAGCAGAGGCAGGAGTTTCAGCCAGATCTCCTGCTATTAAGGGTGATGTTGATCTAGAGTCCCCTGAGATAAAGGTGAAAGGCAGTAAACCAAAGTCCAAACTTGGATCATGCTTTGGGAAACCAAAAAGTGGAAAGATAGAAGGTGAATACAAACCAGGAAGTGTAGACATAGAAGGCCCTGATGTAAGTGCAGGAGCCAGTGTCAAGGCTCCTGCCATTGAAGGAGAAATTGATGTTGAATCACCTGAAGTAGAAGTGAAAGGTAAAAAGGTTTCTGGAAAGCCGAAGGCCAAACTAGGATCATGCTTTGGCAAACCCAAAGAACCTAAAGTTAAAGGAGAAATAGACATTGAAGGTCCAAGAGTAGAAGGTGAAGTGCCTACTGGGAAAGCTGAAGTAGGTGCCAAGGCCCCTGATATGAAAGTGAAGAGTAAAAAGGTAAAAGGAAAATCTGCTCCACTATGTGCTTCATGCATTGGAAAGGCATCACCTCCAGATGTAGATATAGATGCTGATGTAGAACCAGGAAGCATTAAGATTCGTCCAGAAAAACCAAGCATGGAAGGTAAAATATCAGTAGAAGGTCCAAGTATTGATGTTGAACCAGTAAAAGTAAAAGTAAAGGGACCTTCAGTGCCTGAAGTACCAGAAATAAAAGGAAATTTGGATGTGGAAGCAGATTTACCTGATTTTGAACCATCCATTAAAATCAAGGGTGATATTCCAGATATCCCGAAAGTAGAAGCAGAAATGGGAGGAAAAGCTGATATTCCAGGAATTGAAATCAAGGGTAATGTGCCAGAACTTCCAAAGATAGAGGCAAGTGTGGATGCACCTGAATTGAAAGTGGAAGGAGAGCTACCAAAACTGAAAACGGAAGGTGATATTGACATTGGAATAAATGTTCCAAGTATATCAGGAGATATCAAGGGATTGAATATTGAAACACCCGACTTCCCAAGTGGCAAAATTGAAGGAGATATTAAGGGTGACTTACCAAGCATTGAGATTCCTAAAGCTGAAGTCTCTCTACCAGCAGGCCCTGAATTACCAAGTGCAGAAATCAAGGGAGAATTGAAGGGTCCAGAGATCTCCGGTTCAGCCCAAATACCAAAGGCAGAACTTAAGACAAAGAAAGCAAAACTTGGTCCATGTGCTTGTTTAGGCAAACCAGGCAAAATTGGCAAAGAAGAACCATACATGGCTGCCGAAGCTGGAGGAAAAGCAAGTGGAGAAGTTGAAGGTATAGATGTGGGTGTAGAAGGACCCAAAGGTAGTGTTGCAGTAGATGTTGACTCACCTGAGATAAAGGGTAAGAAAGTAAAGGCTTCAGGCAAGCCTAAGATGTCCTTAGGATCATGCTTTGGGAAAGCAAAGCCACCAAGTGCCCGTGGTGATTTATCAGCTGATGCTGGTGTTGAAGGAACCATTTCTGCTGAGCCACACCTCAAAGTTGAAGGAGCAGATATTGCAGGTCCAAGTGCAGAGATTTCCCTTCCAGAAGGAAAGGCTGAAGTTGATATTGAATCCCCAGAAGTTAAAGTGAAAGGAGGAAAAGTATCAGGCAAACCCAAGATGAAATTTGGACCCTGTTTCGGCAAAGGCAAAGATGTAGAAGTAGAAGGTGAATACAAACCAAGTAAAGTAGAAGTTAAAGGTCCATCTGTCAGTGGTGAAGTCAGTGCAGCTTCACCTGAAATGAGTGGAGACATTAGTGTTGAATCACCTAAAGCTAAAATCAAAGGAGAAAAGCCAAAATCCAAACTAGGATCCTGCTTTGGAAAACCAAAAGGTCCAGAAGTTGAGGGTGAATATGATCCTGCTAAACTAGATGTTAAAGGTCCAGAAGTTAGAGGTGAAGTGGGTGTTTCTTCAGCAGAGGTCACAGGGGATATTGATGTTGAGTCTCCAGATGTGAAAGTCAAAGCAGGAAAACCTAAAGCAAAGTTGGGATCTTGTTTCGGTAAGCCTAAATCACCTGAAGTTGAGGGTGGATATAAACCACTCCAGATGTGAAAGTCAAAGCAGGAAAACCTAAAGCAAAGTTGGGATCTTGTTTCGGTAAGCCTAAATCACCTGAAGTTGAGGGTGGATATAAACCAGGAAAAGTTAGTGTAGAAGGAACTGAAGCAGAGGCAGGAGTTTCAGCCAGATCTCCTGCTATTAAGGGTGATGTTGATCTAGAGTCCCCTGAGATAAAGGTAAAAGGCAGTAAACCAAAGTCCAAACTTGGATCATGCTTTGGGAAACCAAAAAGTGGAAAGATAGAAGGTGAATACAAACCAGGAAGTGTAGACATAGAAGGCCCTGATGTGAGCGCAGGAGCCAGTGTCAAGGCTCCTGTCATTGAAGGAGAAATTGATGTTGAATCACCTGAAGTAGAAGTGAAAGGTAAAAAGGTTTCTGGAAAGCCGAAGGCCAAACTAGGATCATGCTTTGGCAAACCCAAAGAACCTAAAGTTAAAGGAGAAATAGACATTGAAAGGTCCAAGAGTAGAAGGTGAAGTGCCTACTGGGAAAGCTGAAGTAGGTGCCAAGGCCCCTGATATGAAAGTGAAGAGTAAAAGGTAAAAGGAAAATCTGCTCCACTATGTGCTTCATGCATTGGAAAGGCATCACCTCCAGATGTAGATATAGATGCTGATGTAGAACCAGGAAGCATTAAGATTCGTCCAGAAAAACCAAGCATGGAAGGTAAAATATCAGTAGAAGGTCCAAGTATTGATGTTGAACCAGTAAAAGTAAAAGTAAAGGGACCTTCAGTGCCTGAAGTACCAGAAATAAAAGGAAATTTGGATGTGGAAGCAGATTTACCTGATTTTGAACCATCCATTAAAATCAAGGGTGATATTCCAGATATCCCGAAAGTAGAAGCAGAAATGGGAGGAAAAGCTGATATTCCAGGAATTGAAATCAAGGGTAATGTGCCAGAACTTCCAAAGATAGAGGCAAGTGTGGATGCACCTGAATTGAAAGTGGAAGGAGAGCTACCAAAACTGAAAACGGAAGGTGATATTGACATTGGAATAAATGTTCCAAGTATATCAGGAGATATCAAGGGATTGAATATTGAAACACCTGACTTCCCAAGTGGCAAAATTGAAGGAGATATTAAGGGTGACTTACCAAGCATTGAGATTCCTAAAGCTGAAGTCTCTCTACCAGCAGGCCCTGAATTACCAAGTGCAGAAATCAAGGGAGAATTGAAGGGTCCAGAGATCTCCAGTTCAGCCCAAGTACCAAAGGCAGAACTTAAGACAAAGAAAGCAAAACTTGGTCCATGTGCTTGTTTAGGCAAACCAGGCAAAATTGGCAAAGAAGAACCATACATGGCTGCCGAAGCTGGAGGAAAAGTAAGTGGAGAAGTTGAAGGTATAGATGTGGGTGTAGAAGGACCCAAAGGTAGTGTTGCAGTAGATGTTGACTCACCTGAGATAAAGGGTAAGAAAGTAAAGGCTTCAGGCAAGCCTAAGATGTCCTTAGGATCATGCTTCGGGAAAGCAAAGCCACCAAGTGCCCGTGGTGATTTATCAGCTGATGCTGGTGTTGAAGGAACCATTTCTGCTGAGCCACACCTCAAAGTTGAAGGAGCAGATATTGCAGGTCCAAGTGCAGAGATTTCCCTTCCAGAAGGAAAGGCTGAAGTTGATATTGAATCCCCAGAAGTTAAAGTGAAAGGAGGAAAAGTATCAGGCAAACCCAAGATGAAATTTGGACCCTGTTTCGGCAAAGGCAAAGATGTAGAAGTAGAAGGTGAATACAAACCAAGTAAAGTAGAAGTTAAAGGTCCATCTGTCAGTGGTGAAGTCAGTGCAGCTTCACCTGAAATGAGTGGAGACATTAGTGTTGAAGCACCTAAAGCTAAAATCAAAGGAGAAAAGCCAAAATCCAAACTAGGATCCTGCTTTGGAAAACCAAAAGGTCCAGAAGTTGAGGGTGAATATGATCCTGCTAAACTAGATGTTAAAGGTCCAGAAGTTAGAGGTGAAGTGGGTGTTTCTTCAGCAGAGGTCACAGGGGATATTGATGTTGAGTCTCCAGATGTGAAAGTTAAACCAAGAAAACCAAAAGCAAAGATTGGATCCTGTTTCGGTAAGCCTAAATCACCTGAAGTTGAGGGTAAATATAAACCTGAAATTGATGTTGAAGGACATAAAGCAGGAGCCGAGGTTTCAGTCAGGGCCCCAGAAGTAGAGGGTCATATTGATGTAGACTCTCCAGATATAAAGATCAAGAGAGAAAAACCAAAGTCTAGACTGGGACCCTGCTTTGGAAAGGCAAAGGGTGAAGTAGAAAGCGAATATAAACCAGGAAATGTTTCTGTAAAAGGTCCTGATGTTGGTGCAGGGACAAGTGTAATGAGCCCTGATATTAGTGCAGAAGCACGTGTGAAAAGTCCTGATATTGAAGGTGAAATTGATATCGAATCACCAAAAGTGGAAGTTAAAGGCAAAAAGGTATCTGGAAAGCCTAAAGTTAACCTTGGGTCTTGCTTTGGTAAACCCAAGGAACCAAAGATCGAAGGCACAGGTGCACAAATACAAGGTGAAGTACCAGCTGCTAAGGTTGAAGTCAAGGGTGATATTCCTGATATACCAAAAGTTAAGGCAGAAATAGGTGGCAAAGCAGATATACCGGAAATTGAAATGCAAGGGAGTGTTCCAAAGCTTCCTGAAATTAAAGCAACTATTGGTTCACCAGAATTAAAGACAGAGGGGGATGTTGGTGTTGGAGTAAGTGCTCCAAGTATTTCAGGAGATATTAAGGGTGATATTCCCAAAGCTGAAGTCACTGTACCATCGGGCCCTGTATTGCCAAGCACAGAAATTAAAGGTGAGATCAAGAGCCCAGCTTTATCAGGTTCAGCAGAGATACCAAAGGCTGAAATAAAAACAAAGAAGGCAAAACTTGGTCCCTGCACTTGCTTGGGCAAATCAGGCAAAGAAGAGCCATATATAGCAGCAGGAGGAGGGAAAATAAGTGGAGAAGTTGAAAGCATAGAAGCAGGCATTGAAAGACCAAAAGGCACTGTTTCAGTTGAGGTGGATTCTCCTGAGATGAAGAACAAAAAGGTCAAGGCCTCAGGAAAGCCTAAGATGTCCTTGGGATCTTGCTTTGGTAAAGGAAAGCCTCCTAGTGTCGGAGAAATTTCAACTGGCCTTGATGTAGATGTAAAGCCAGATCAACCTGACTTTGAAATCTCTGCTGAGGCTCCAGTTCCACCAATGCGAAAGGGAAAGAAATTTAAGGTTAAATCTCCAGACATTGATATGAATATGGGAAGCATAGATGTAAATGCTGATGTTCCAGAAGTTGGAGGAATAGATGTTTCTGGTATTGGAATAAAGGCTGGTGGAGCAGATATCAATGGAAGTCTTGATATCCCAGAATTTGAAGGCCGTATAAAAAGCCCACATGTAAAGAGTAGTATTGAAATTCCAGAAGTTGAAGGCAAGATCAGTATGCCTGGAATTAAAGGTAGTGGAGAAATCCAAGGATATGGTGGTAAGATAACTATGCCGGATGTCAAAGGTAATACTGACATTCCAGGATTTAGTGGCAAAATTAGCATGCCAGAAGTGAATGGAAATGTTGATATTCCATCCTTTGGAAGTAAAATTGATATGCCAGATCTTAATGGGAAAGCGGATATTCAAGGATTTAGAGGCAAGGTTGACATGCCAGAAATGAAGGGCAGTGCTGAAATGCCAGGCTTTGGAGGCAAGGTAGACATGCCAGAAATCAAGGGCAGTGTTGGAATGCCAGGCTTTGGAGGCAAGGTAGACATGCCAGAAATCAAGGGCAGTGCTGAAATGCCAGGCTTTGGAGGCAAGGTAGACATGCCAGAAATCAAGGGCAGTGTTGGAATGCCAGGCTTTGGAGGCAAGGTTGACATGCCAGAAATCAAGGGCAGTGCTGAAATGCCAGGCTTTGGAGGCAAGGTTGACATGCCAGAAATCAAGGGCAGTGTTGGAATGCCAGGCTTTGGAGGCAAGGTAGACATGCCAGAAATCAAGGGCAGTGCTGAAATGCCAGGCTTTGGAGGCAAGGTAGACATGCCAGAAATCAAGGGCAGTGTTGGAATGCCAGGCTTTGGAGGCAAGGTAGACATGCCAGAAATCAAGGGCAGTGCTGAAATGCCAGGCTTTGGAGGCAAGGTAGACATGCCAGAAATCAAGGGCAGTGTTGGAATGCCAGGCTTTGGAGGCAAGGTAGACATGCCAGAAATCAAGGGCAGTGCTGAAATGCCAGGCTTTGGAGGCAAGGTTGACATGCCAGAAATCAAGGGCAGTGCTGAAATGCCAGGCTTTGGAGGCAAGGTAGACATGCCAGAAATCAAGGGCAGTGTTGGAATGCCAGGCTTTGGAGGCAAGGTTGACATGCCAGAAATCAAGGGCAGTGCTTGAAATGCCAGGCTTTGGAGGCAAGGTAGACATGCCAGAAATCAAGGGCAGTGTTGGAATGCCAGGCTTTGGAGGCAAGGTAGACATGCCAGAAATCAAGGGCAGTGTTGAAATGCCAGGCTTTGGAGGCAAGGTAGACATGCCAGAAATCAAGGGCAGTGTTGGAATGCCAGGCTTTGGAGGCAAGGTAGACATGCCAGAAATCAAGGGCAGTGCTGAAATGCCAGGCTTTGGAGGCAAGGTAGACATGCCAGAAATCAAGGGCAGTGTTGGAATGCCAGGCTTTGGAGGCAAGGTTGACATGCCAGAAATCAAGGGCAGTGCTGAAATGCCAGGCTTTGGAGGCAAGGTAGACATGCCAGAAATCAAGGGCAGTGTTGGAATGCCAGGCTTTGGAGGCAAGGTAGACATGCCAGAAATCAAGGGCAGTGCTGAAATGCCAGGCTTTGGAGGCAAGGTAGACATGCCAGAAATCAAGGGCAGTGTTGGAATGCCAGGCTTTGGAGGCAAGGTTGACATGCCAGAAATCAAGGGCAGTGCTGAAATGCCAGGCTTTGGAGGCAAGGTAGACATGCCAGAAATCAAGGGCAGTGTGGAATGCCAGGCTTTGGAGGCAAGGTAGACATGCCAGAAATCAAGGGCAGTGCTGAATGCCAGAAATCAAAGGCAAGTTTGACATGCCAGAAATCAAGGGCAGTGCTGAAATGCCAGGCTTTGGAGGCAAGGTTGACATGCCAGAAATCAAAGGCAAGTTTGACATGCCAGAAATCAAGGGCAGTGCTGAAATGCCAGGCTTTGGAGGCAAGGTTGACATGCCAGAAATCAAGGGCAGTGTTGGAATGCCAGGCTTTGGAGGCAAGGTAGATATGCCAGAAATCAAGGGCAGTGTTGGAATGCCAGGCTTTGGAGGCAAGGTAGATATGCCAGAAATTGAGGGCAGTGTTGGAATGCCAGACTTTGGAGGCAAGGTTGACATGCCAGAAATCAAGGGCAAGTTTGACATGCCAGAAATCAAGGGCAGTGTTGGAATGCCAGGCTTTGGAGGCAAGGTAGACATGCCAGAAATCAAGGGCAGTGCTGAAATGCCAGGCTTTGGAGGCAAGGTTGACATGCCAGAAATCAAGGGCAGTGTTGGAATGCCAGGCTTTGGAGGCAAGGTAGACATGCCAGAAATCAAAGGCAAGTTTGACATGCCAGAAATCAAAGGCAAGTTTGACATGCCAGAAATCAAGGGCAGTGCTGAAATGCCAGGCTTTGGAGGCAAGGTTGACATGCCAGAAATCAAGGGCAGTGTTGGAATGCCAGGCTTTGGAGGCAAGGTAGACATGCCAGAAATCAAGGGCAGTGTTGGAATGCCAGGCTTTGGAGGCAAGGTTGACATGCCAGAAATCAAGGGCAAGTTTGACACGCCAGAAATCAAGGGCAGTGCTGAAATGCCAGGCTTTGGAGGCAAGGTTGACATGCCAGAAATCAAGGGCAGTGTTGGAATGCCAGGCTTTGGAGGCAAGGTAGACATGCCAGAAATCAAGGGCAGTGCTGAAATGCCAGGCTTTGGAGGCAAGGTAGACATGCCAGAAATCAAGGGCAGTGCTGAAATGCCAGGCTTTGGAGGCAAGGTTGACATGCCAGAAATCAAGGGCAGTGTTGGAATGCCAGGCTTTGGAGGCAAGGTGACATGCCAGAAATCAAGGGCAGTGCTGAAATGCCAGGCTTTGGAGGCAAGGTTGACATGCCAGAAATCAAGGGCAGTGTTGGAATTCCAGGCTTTGGAGGCAAGGTTGACATGCCAGAAATCAAGGGCAAGTTTGACATGCCAGAAATCAAGGGCAAGGTAGACATGCCAGAAATCAAGGGCAGTGCTGAAATGCCAGGCTTTGGAGGCAAGGTAGACATGCCAGAAATCAAGGGCAGTGTTGGAATGCCAGGCTTTGGAGGCAAGGTTGACATGCCAGAAATCAAGGGCAGTGCTGAAATGCCAGGCTTTGGAGGCAAGGTTGACATGCCAGAAATCAAGGGCAGTGTTGGAATGCCAGGCTTTGGAGGCAAGGTTGACATGCCAGAAATCAAGGGCAAGTTTGACATGCCAGAAATCAAGGGCAAGGTTAGACATGCCAGAAATCAAGGGCAGTGCTGAAATGCCAGGCTTTGGAGGCAAGGTTGACATGCCAGAAATCAAGGGCAGTGTTGGAATGCCAGGCTTTGGAGGCAAGGTTGACATGCCAGAAATCAAGGGCAAGTTTGACATGCCAGAAATCAAGGGCAGTGCTGAAATGCCAGGCTTTGGAGGCAAGGTAGACATGCCAGAAATCAAGGGCAGTGTTGGAATGCCAGGCTTTGGAGGCAAGGTTGACATGCCAGAAATCAAGGGCAAGTTTGACACGCCAGAAATCAAGGGCAGTGCTGAAATGCCAGGCTTTGGAGGCAAGGTTGACATGCCAGAAATCAAGGGCAGTGTTGGAATGCCAGGCTTTGGAGGCAAGGTTGACATGCCAGAAATCAAGGGCAGTGTTGGAATGCCAGGCTTTGGAGGCAAGGTTGACATGCCAGAAATCAAGGGCAAGGTAGACATTTGCCAGAAATCAAGGGCAGTGTCGGAATGCCAGGCTTTGGAGGCAAGGTTGACATGCCAGAAATCAAGGGCAAGGTAGACATGCCAGAAATCAAGGGCAAGGTAGACATGCCAGAAATCAAGGGCAGTGCTGAAATGCCAGGCTTTGGAGGCAAGGTTGACATGCCAGAAATCAAGGGCAGTGTTGGAATGCCAGGCTTTGGAGGCAAGGTTGACATGCCAGAAATCAAGGGCAAGTTTGACACGCCAGAAATCAAGGGCAGTGCTGAAATGCCAGGCTTTGGAGGCAAGGTTGACATGCCAGAAATCAAGGGCAGTGTTGGAATGCCAGGCTTTGGAGGCAAGTTTGACACGCCAGAAATCAAGGGCAGTGCTGAAATGCCAGGCTTTGGAGGCAAGGTTGACATGCCAGAAATCAAGGGCAGTGTTGGAATGCCAGGCTTTGGAGGCAAGGTTGACATGCCAGAAATCAAGGGCAAGTTTGACATGCCAGAAATCAAGGGCAAGGTTGACATGCCAGAAATCAAGGGCAGTGCTGAAATGCCAGGCTTTGGAGGCAAGGTTGACATGCCAGAAATCAAGGGCAAGTTTGACATGCCAGAAATCAAGGGCAGTGCTGAAATGCCAGGCTTTGGAGGCAAGGTTGACATGCCAGAAATCAAGGGCAGTGTTGGAATGCCAGGCTTTGGAGGCAAGGTTGACATGCCACAAATCAAGGGCAAGTTTGACATGCCAGAAATCAAGGGCAAGGTTGACATGCCAGAAATCAAGGGCAGTGCTGAAATGCCAGGCTTTGGAGGCAAGGTTGACATGCCAGAAATCAAGGGCAAGTTTGACATGCCAGAAATCAGTGGCAAGTTTGGCATGCCAGAAATCAAGGGCAGTGCTGAAATGCCAGGCTTTGGAGGCAAGGTAGACATGCCAGAAATCAAGGGCAGTGCTGAAATGCCAGGCTTTGGAGGCAAGGTAGACATGCCAGAAATCAAGGGCAGTGTTGGAATGCCAGGCTTTGGAGGCAAGGTTGACATGCCAGAAATCAAGGGCAAGTTTGACATGCCAGAAGTCAAGGGCAAGGTTGACATGCCAGAAATCAAGGGCAGTGTTGGAATGCCAGGCTTTGGAGGCAAGGTAGACATGCCAGAAATCAAGGGCAGTGTTGGAATGCCAGGCTTTGGAGGCAAGGTAGACATGCCAGAAATCAAGGGCAAGTTTGACATGCCAGAAATCAAGGGCAAGTTTGACATGCCAGAAGTCAAGGGCAAGGTTGACATGCCAGAAATCAAGGGCAAGGTTGACATGCCAGAAATCAAGGGCAGTGTTGGAATGCCAGGCTTTGGAGGCAAGGTAGACATGCCAGAAATCAAGGGCAGTGCTGAAATGCCAGGCTTTGGAGGCAAGGTTGATATGCCAGAAATCAAGGGCAAGGTTGACATGCCAGAAATCAAGGGCAAGGTTGACATGCCAGAAATCAAGGGCAGTGCTGAAATGCCAGGCTTTGGAGGCAAGGTAGACATGCCAGAAATCAAGGGCAGGGTCGGAATGCCAGGCTTTGGAGGCAAGATTGATATGCCAGAAATCAAGGGCAAGGTAGACATGCCAGGCTTTGGAGGCAAGGTTGACATGCCAGAAATCAAGGGCAGTGTTGGAATGCCAGGCTTTGGAGGCAAGGTAGACATGCCAGAAATCAAGGGCAAGGTAGACATGCCAGGCTTTGATGGCAAGGTAGACATGCCAGAAGTCAAGGGCAGTGTTGGAATGCCAGGCTTTGGAGGCAAGATTGACATGCCAGAAATCAAGGGCAGTGTTGGAATGCCAGGCTTTGGAGGCAAGATTGACATGCCAGAAGTCAAGGGCAAGGTTGACATGCCAGAAATCAAGGGCAAGGTTGACATGCCAGAATTCAAGGGCAAGTTTGACATGCCAGAAATCAAGGGCAAGGTTGACATGCCAGAAATCAAGGGCAGTGCTGAAATGCCAGGCTTTGGAGGCAAGGTAGACATGCCAGAAATCAAGGGCAGTGCTGAAATGCCAGGCTTTGGAGGCAAGGTAGACATGCCAGAAATCAAGAGCAAGGTAGACATGCCAGGCTTTGGAGGCAAGGTTGATATGCCAGAAATCAAGGGCAAGGTAGACATGCCAGAAATCAAGGGCAGTGTCGGAATGCCAGGCTTTGGAGGCAAGATTGACATGCCAGAAATCAAGGGCAAGGTAGACATGCCAGGCTTTGGAGGCAAGGTTGACATGCCAGAAATCAAGGGCAAGGTAGACATGCCAGGCTTTGGAGGCAAGGTAGACATGCCAGAAATCAAGGGCAAGGTAGACATGCCAGGCTTTGATGGCAAGGTAGACATGCCAGAAGTCAAGGGCAGTGTTGGAATGCCAGGCTTTGGAGGCAAGATTGACATGCCAGAAATCAAGGGCAGTGTTGGAATGCCAGGCTTTGGAGGCAAGATTGACATGCCAGAAGTCAAGGGCAGTGTTGGAATGCCAAGCTTTGGAGGCAAGGTAGACATGCCAGAAATCAAGGGCAAGGTTGACATGCCAGAAATCAAGGGCAAGGTTGACATGCCAGAAATCAAGGGCAGTGCTGAAATGCCAGGCTTTGGAGGCAAGGTAGACATGCCAGAAATCAAGGGCAAGGTAGACATGCCAGAAATCAAGGGCAAGGTAGACATGCCAGAAATCAAGGGCAAAGTTAACATGTCAGAGATGAAGGGCAAAGTAGACACGCCAGGAGTCATGGGCAGTGTCGGAATCCCTGGCTTTGAAGGCAAGGTTGACATGCCAGAGATGAAGGGCAAGGTTGACATGCCAGGCACCAAAGGAAAAACAAAGACCTCAGGCTTTGGGGGCAAAATTGATGTGCCAAAAATGAAGGGCAAAGTAGAGATAACAGGTTTTGGAGATAAGGGTGACATGCCAGAAACCCGAGGTACAGGAGCTAAGGTTGATATGGCATTAACTGAAGAAGAGGTAGAAATTCAAGGCTTTGGAGGTAAGGTAAGCATGCCAGAATTAAAGGGTAAAACAGAAATCACATCTACAGAAAGCAAGATTAACATGCCAGTAGGTAAAGGAAAGGGAAAATCCAGAGGAAAGGCCAACTTGCCAAAGGGTAAAGGTAGTGCAGAAATTTCAGGCACAGAAGGTGAAGTTGACATACCATTAATAAAGGGGACTGTTAAAAGCCCTGGCATTGACGGCAAGGTTGACTTGCCAAAAGCTAAAGGCAAGGCAGTGAAGGCTGACATCCAAGAGAAAAAGTCTAGTGTTGACCTCCCGGCAGCTGAAGGCAAAATGAAAGCAAAGGCCGAAATTCCAAATATTAAAAGTGGAGTTGAAGATAGTGCAAACCTCGAAGGGGTAAAAGTTAAAACCAAATCTGACCATATTACAAAAACAGAAACAATAGCAGTAGATTCAGAGATCAGAGTTCCATCTTTGGTTACAGGCAATGGAGATTTAAGCAAAGTTTCATCCACATCCACTGTAGTTACCACTGACATACCTCTTACAAAATCCAAGAAAAAGAGGAACAGAGCAAATAGAAAGAAAAAGGCTAATTCTATGTCTGAAGAAGAACTGGAGAAGGAGAAAGACCAACCAGAAGCACAAACACCATCTCAAGCAGGTCAACAGCAGACAAGTGTATCGGTAATACCAAAACTTCAGGGAACTGTTGAAGTAAATAAATGTCTTCCAGAAAGCAAACATGGAACCGCAACCTATACATTCAGTGGTTCAGATAGAACTGTGGGAGACACTACGATAGTCAGTAGTCAGTATCCTGTATCTAGTTCACTGGTTGTGTCTACAGGGGAACCTACAGTTGTTTCCTCATCAACTGGAGTAAATATTGTTAGCAGCAGGGTAATTGGTGAAGGGGAATTGAGGGGAAACATTCCAGAAGTATCGGTAAGACCAGGCACAGTTCCTATCGGCTGGGTCATACCGCCACAGACCTCTCATAGTACAATTAGCCATAAGGTCGTTGTGGGAGATAGTGATCAGTTTAGTCAAGAATTTGTAGTTCCTCACACTCAAAGTATTACAGTACTGCCTCAAAGTCAAACTGAACATTCACAGGTTATGATGACATCACGCCCAACAGAAATTCATGAAGTCAATAGAGAATACACCATATCTACAGAGGCTCAAAGAGCAGATGATGTTGAATCTTATATCAAGGGTAAATTAGGGCCATTTAGAATAACACCTGACAGAACATTAAGTGAATGCAAGACAGAAGTACAGGTCATAAGGGAACCTTTCCACATATCACCAGACAGGACAGAGCAACACCAAATACATCTCTCTCCAGACACATCAGGGGATTGGTCTGTAGGTCCATATTCCTACCAAGTTAGAATGGAAACAGATTCTGAAGGGAAACTCATTTCAGCACCTCAGTTGACTGCGTTACAGAGCAAAGAAGATGGAGAATCCAGAGGCACTAAACAATCTCGTAATGTCTTTGTAACTGAAGATGCTGGTGGGAGAGTAATAGTACATAGAAGAATAGAATCTCAGAGAGTGACTTCTGACCAGGATGCTGAGCCATCAGGTCAGCAAACCCAGATTGTGCGACAAGACCCAGAGTCATCAGTTGTGACAAGAACTGAGTGGCCAGAGAACGTCACCACCCACAGAACTGTTCGAATTAGAAAAATCAAACGGGTTAGAGTAGGTGATGGTCCCGAAGAAACAACTGTTGAAACTGAGTATGAAGGTGACCCTGACGCATTAAATCTAGATTCAGTGGAAGGCTTTCAGTCTGGGCTGACACACCTGCTACCTGGCACTTCCGGAGAGTCATCTCTACTCCGCTTTGGCCTTGGCCAAAGGGAGACCCCGGAAAACACACAAACAGTTACAACTACTGTTAGAAGAGTACCGGCTGATTTAAGCCATTTCATGCAAGAGGGTTACGATGAAAATCTCGAAAATATTCTTGGTTCGACGACGACGACGACAACGACAAGGACTGTGCGGAAAGTCAAGGTCATAAGAAGAGACGAAGATGGCAACATAGTGGAGTTCGAAGACGAGGAAGGTGAAGTCTCGTCTCTGCCACCAGCGTTGACCTCCGAAGATGTATCCACGACCGTCTCTGACGACGGTACAACGACGACTACAACAAGAAGAATCATCCGAGAAAGACGAATCATTACAAGTGACTTGACGGAGGACGCGAATCGTTCTACCGTCAGGGAGAGTGCGAGCGGTGAGGGCGAGGCGGGGTCCTCACAAGACCCATCGCATGCAACACACTGAGTCAATACGAATGAAACGAATTTTTAAAGAATATGTATATTTTGCTGTGTATGTGCTTGAAAAATGTCCTATATATGAATATCGTCATGTAAGCTACACCTGTGGAGTCCTTGTGTTCAAAACACTATATTTGAAATTCGAGTGTTCTGAGTATACTCTCAGCATAGCGGCGCTGTGCACCAAAGACAACATGTGTACAAATAGCAGTACACAGCAGATCCGGTGCGTTATAGCATCCTGTGCTCACGAATCTGTGGCTTCCAATCAAGGACCTGACAGGACAAGGAGAACTTCTTTCAAACAACATGCAGTTTCCACCTTTTTGCAACACAACTAATG